CACGAGTCCTGCCTGGACAGGGCCGCTTCGCCAGAGCACTCGGAGCCAGGTGCCGGGCGCGGATTGGGCCACCAGTGCCCAGTCTGCCCAGCGCGCTTTCCTTCCGAGCGCGCATTGGCCAGCCACTGTCGGGCCAAGCATGGGCGTCGTTTGGCCGTCAAGCAACACATCGACGGCTCTGGCGTGCGTCCTGCGCGCGGCACCAATTTCCACACGCGATTGCGGTGCATCGCGCACTTGTCAGAAAAGCGGCGCCCAACGTGCACGGCCTGAGTGCTTGCCAATGTCCCTCCTCTGCCTCCTTCCGTAGTGGCCCAGCTCAATGAGCAAGATCGGGCGGCCAAGCGCGAGGCTTGGGCCCAGGGGCGAACGCACCCGTTAGCACGAGGGGCCGCGACCATTCGCAACGGTAAGCGCATCGGACACTGCCGGTAGCACTGCCTCGCGGCGATTGTACAGTTCGTCTCACGGCCAACGTGTTGTCGAGATTTTCGCACGTACAGCAAGCATTCTACGATACTTGTCGTAGCGGCGCCGGCCGGTCCTTGACGTAGTCCTTACAGGCGGTGCTTCGTCAAGCTCTTGCTTTCGCGCTTCTTCCCCGCAGCTGCCACGCTATCCTGTATAGTCTGCGCAGTCCTGTGAGCACCCAAAAGCCCTCCGATCCCTGACCAACAAACCTCACCGTATCGAAGACGCGAAAAGCGAATCACCGCCGCCCCCTGCCGTGTGGGAAGCGCTTCTGTGGCTAAACGCTGGGCCCTCGCTTGGCGAATCGATCGGACTCTGTGTTACCCCAGCCGTTCTGGAAACTCTTTGGGGAACACTTGGGGGAGGATGTGCGGGGGGATCAGAAGAGGGAGGAAGAGGAGGAGGAGTAGAAGGAGGAGGCCTCTAGGGAGCCTCTTGGGGCACTCTCAGGGCCTCCTGGGAGCTGCCTGGGGGCCTCTTGGAGGCGTCTTGGGGGCCTCCTTGGGCCTCTTGGGGGCCTTTAGTGCCTTCTTGCGGGCCTCTTTGGCCGTCTTCGTGCGTTCCTGGCCCATCTGACGCCGTCGGGAGCCGTCTTGGCTGCCTCTCTGAACCGACTTGGAGCCCTCTTGGGGCGCTTCATGACCGTCTTGAAGGCTACCTTGGGCGTCTTGGAGGCCTCTGGGGAAGTCTTGGGGCCCTCTTGTGGCCGTCTTGGGGGCCTCTTGGGCCATCTTGAAGGCCTCTTGGGCGGTCTTGGGGCGACCTTGGGGGCCTCTTGGGCCGTCTCGGGCCGTCGGAAAGCCCGAAAGTAGCAAATACAAAAATCCTTCCAAACCAAAGGACAATCGATGATTTGTGCCTCTGCAGGCCTTCCTGCGTACCCGTTTGCGTCTTGGAGGCCATCTTGGCCGTCTTGGATGCCATCTTGGCCGTCTTGGAAGCATCTTGGAGGCCATCTTGGGCCATGCTGGCTGTCTTGGAGGCAATTGGGCGATTTGTTCTGCAGATTGTGCGGCCTTCCGAGTGGCCGGCGAGTTCTTTCGGAAAGGAACCAAAACCAAGCCGTAATGTTCAGCACGCCGGGCACCGCTGTGACAAGACCACATGGGGCGGCTGGACTTGATATCGAAGACGCCTACGGCGAATCACCGCCGCCCCCTGCCTGGTGGAATCGCCCATGTGGCCGAGCGTTGTGGCAAGAGCTCTGCCAAGCTATCGGACCATGTGTTCCCCCAATCGTGCGGACACCCTTCGGGGAACACTTGGGGGAGGATGGCGGGGAATATCAAGAGGAAGCGAAGGAGGAGGAGGAGGAGGAGGAGGACCAGTGTAAACCCAAGATGAATCAACAATGTTCGAATTAACCCTCCCTCCAAGCTCCCTCTTCACAGGACCCTACAACGGTTCATTTCCATTAAGGGAACTGCCTCGTTGGAAGACAACCGCTTGAAGACCTGGAAGCATGCCAGAACATTGGTCTCGGGATTTCCACGCCACGGATCAACTTGACTGCTGCGTCCTGACGATCTGGAATCGCGCCAGAACGCCATTTGTGGGAGGGACTTAGACACCGCGAATCAATATAACTGCTGCGCCCCCAGAATCATGAATCCTTTTTATATAAAACGAAACATTTCTGGTACGTTGATCATGGGAACCCGTAAAACCTTTGCAACGGTTTAAAAGAATGCGCGCGGCGCTAAGACGAGAGCCACATTTTGACAACGACCCGCCCTCAATCCGTGAAGCTCTTGCACATGGTTGTAACGAATGCACGCTGCGCTGAGGCGAGAGCCACATTTTGAAAACGACCCGCCCTCAATCCGTGAAGCTCTTGCAATTTGTTGCAACGAATGCGCGCGGCGCTAAGGCGAGAGCCACATTTTGAAAACGACCCGCCCTGAATCCGCGAAGCTCTTGCCAAGTTGTTCAACGAATGCGCGCGGCGCTAAGGCGAGAGCCACATGTGAGAACCACCCGCCCTCGATATGTTAAACTGTTGTCATTGCTTAAAGCATTAAACACATAACTGGTAAGGAAGTCTGAGGCGAAACGCTTGGTCCGCCCAGAAAACTTGCCTCGGGGTGCGACAGTGAGAAATTAGTTGTGAAGAAAAGGATGGAGGAGGAGGAGGCGGAGGAGGAGGAGGATGCGGAGGAGGAGGAGGAGGAGAAGGAGGGGGCATCTTGGGAGCATCTGGAGACACTCTTGGGGCCTCCTGGGAGCTTCCCAGGAGTCTCTTGGGAGCCTGTTGGGGGCATCCTTGGGCCTCTTGGGGGCCTTTGAGGGCTTCTCGGCCTCTTTGGCTGTCTTGTTGGACTCCGGGCCCGTCTGACGCCGTCGGAAGCTGTCTTGGGGGCCTCTCTGGGCCGACTTGTGGCCCTCTTGGGGTGCTCCAGGGCCGTCGTGGAGGCCACCTTGGGCGTCTTGGAGGCCTCTTGGGCCGTCTTGGGGCCCTCCTGGGGCCGTCTTGGGAGCCTCTTAGGTCGTTCTGGGGCCATCTCGGAGTCCTCTTGGGCGCTCTGGGGGCGATCTTTGGGGGCCTCTTCGGCCGTCTCGGGCTGTCGGAAGGCCGAAAAACAGCAAACGCCACAATCCTTCAAAAACTTAGGAACATCAGTGATTTGGGCCTCTCTGGGGCTTCCTGGAGGCCCTTTTGGAGGCCTCTTGGGCCGTCTTGGGCCATCTTAGAGCCATCTTCGGCAGTCTTGGTGGGCCCCTGGCCTGTCTGACGCCGTCGGAAGCCGTTTTGGGGGGCCGCGTGCTCCAGGGCCGTATTGGACGCTTCCTGGCGTCATAGTGGCCTCTGGGGCCGTCTGGGGGGCCTCTTGGGGCCGTCTTGGGAGCCTCTTGGTCGTTCTAGGGCCATCTTGGATGCCTCTTGGGCGATCTTGGGGCGATCTTTGGGGGCTCTTGGGCCGAGCCGTCTCGGGCCGTCGGACGGCTGAAAAACAGCAAACGCCAAAATCCTTCGGCCGTCTTGGTGGGCCCCTGGCCCGTTTGACGCCGTCGGAAACCGTCTTGGGGGCCTCTCTGTGCACACTTGGGGCCCTCTTGGGGTGCTCCAGGGCCATCGTGGAGGCTTCCTTGGGCTTCTTAGAGGCCTCTTGGGTCGTCTTTGGGCCCTCTTGGGGCTTTGGGGCCTCTTGGGAGCGTCTTGGGGCGATCCTGGGGGCTATTGTACCGTCTTGGAGCGTCGGGAACCCGAAAAGACGGAAACGCCAACATCCGTCAAGAAATTATGTGAAATCAATGTTTGTTGCCTCTTGGAGCCCTGTTGGGAGTGCTCTTGGTGGCCTCCTGGGCCATATTGGAGGCCTCTTGGACCGTCTGGAGGCCATCTTGGGCGTCTGGGAGCGATCTCTCGGCAAATCGGAACCCTGGTGGACACATCGGAGGGTTCGGGAGGTCGTCTTGGGCGGAGAGTCCAGAGGACTGGCAGGAAGCACCCCAGAACTCACGAGGGAAACCCCAGAAGACCCTTAGACGGCCTGGAACTCCAGAGTTCTGGGTCCTTAAGACACTTCAATCTGGGTTGCAGCAGCAGCAGCAGCAGCACTGCTATGAGCCTTGGGGCGCTCCACTTCGTGCTAGAGGCACGGCGGCGGATTCAGGATGAACGATCGCGCAGAATGATGATGGAAGCAATGCGCAGAGGGAACGGATGAGTCTGGCCTCGGCAGGGGTGTGGATTCGCGCTCTTCTTTTAGACTGGACCAAATATGGCGCAAGCCATGTGTTGTAAGATAGGTTTCTTGGGGCGCCTCTGGGGGGCCTCCTGGGGCGTTCGAGGGCCCCCTCGGGGGCCTGCAGGCGGTCTCGGGGGTCATCTTGGAGCGGAGGGCTCGGCATGTCGGTTCGCGTTCCCCCTTTGGGGGGCCCTTCCTGGGGCCCTTCTGGGGCCTTGTGGGCCGTCTTGTGTGCCCTCTTGGCACCGTCATGAGCCGTCTTGGCACCCTCTTGAGCCGTCTCGGGGCGATCTCGCGGGCGTGTTGGTCCGTCCTGGTCGGTTAGAAAGCCGAAATGGCGAGAGCGCATCAGTCCTTCCTAAGCCCTGTGCGGTAATGGTGAGTGTGGCCTCTCGTGGCGCTCCTGGGAGACCTCTGGGAGCCCTCTTGGGTTGTCTTGGGCGACCTTTTGGTCGTCTGGAAGTCACCTGGGGCATCTCAGAGCGCTCTTGAGCCGACTCGGGGCCCTCTTGGACCGTCGTGAGGGCTTCTTGGGGCCCTCTTGCTCCGAAACGTTTTCGCCACAAGGTCCGAGATCGCCCAGAACACCCGTTCTTGGGGGTTGCGGGTTCGTAATAATCTTCAAGACAGAGGGCGGAGGACTACTAGGGGACCAGGAGACACTCCACTCAGTACCTGCCGGCACAACGGTGGAGTATGCGCCAGTTCTATATACGTATGCAGGACATGTCGTGCAGATGTGCACATTGACAGGGAGTTGTGTAAGCTGCGTGGCGAAGTTGATACTGCAGCCCGCACAAACCTCCCAGCCTCCCACCTGCAACTTGATTTTCCGCACAGCTCTTTCGGTTACGACTGCGGTTGCCGAGTGGAGCTCGCTACCGCATCTCTGTGGCCGCATTGGCGCGCTTCCCAGCGCGTCTCACGGGCCGCGTTGGTGCGCGGGCGTTGCATTGTTGGTCGGTGGCCCGTGCGGGCGCGATACCGCGCCATGACGTCGGCAACGGCGGCAACGGTCATGATGGTGGCGATTGTGGTGGCCATGGCAAGGGTGACGATGGCAAGGCCAGTGACGGCGCCGATGCTGGTCACGTCGGTGGCGATGATGACATCCATCTGCTAGTGATGAAAGTGATTGGCTGGTGATGGCGGCAATAGCGGCGATTGGCGATGACGACGACGACGGTAGTGCGATGACGTTGATGAGGATGACGGTGAGGAAGCTCGCGCTCGCAGAAGTTCATTAATCACGACAAGCGTTGCATGTGCTGGTGAGAATCAGCATTTCGAAATCATCGGGTGACTTGGGCGGGAACGATATGATGATGACGTCGACGCAACCAATGCCGTCGATGATGTCGGGGATGACGGGGGCGGTGATGACCCCGAATCTGGTAGTAGTAATGATGGTGTGCTGGTGATGATGGTGATGGCGATGAGGACGGTGATGCGGATGATGCTGACGAAGCTGATGATGATGTTGTTGATGATGTTGTTGTTGATGGTGCTGCTGCTGATGATGGTGATGATGACGACGGTGATGACAGAAGTGACGGTGACGATACTGATAACGATTGCGCGGGTGAGGTTGATCAGAAAGTGCGCGCCCGTAGAAATCAAGACATCCCGACATGATCTCGACGTGCGCGCGCGGAAACGCGCGCGTATGGCCCGCATGGTATGATTTGACAGAGTTGGTGGCCGCGCGATGGTGGATGAACGTTGTCGACATGCGCGCGCGAGTGGGATTTGTGATAGCCGTGGATGAGCAATGCATCGAAAGGGCATGTTGTTTCGCAAGCAAATTGTCCTGACACATTATGATGTGCGCGCGGCGACTCGCGCGTGTGAACTTTTTGGCGTTACGTTGCAAGGGATTTTGGGACAATAGCAGAGTTTGGTCTTTAGTTTGGGGGACCCTCCCTCCCTCCTTCTCTCGGCGGGGAATACACTCCGCCCCTCCTCCTCCTCCTCCTCCTCCTCCTCCTCCTGAGCCTGTGGGCTGACGGCCGCTTGCGGGATGCGTGCCCGCTGGCCTGTCAGACGGGGCCAGTGCCTCAGCTGGGGTGAGCGAAGGTCTCGCCTTAGTGAGTGAAAGTGGGGTCCGTAGTGACCCGCCTCAGAGTCCTAGTGCGTGTCGAATTGCAGCTTGAGTTCAGACAGTGATGCAGTGCGGCCGGGTGCACAGCCAGGATTCCATGAGTTGGTCCAAGGTATAAGGTCTTCTCCTCCTCCCTCCTCCTCCCTCCTCCTCCTCCTCGTCCTCCTCCTCCTCCTCCCTCTCCTCCTCCTCCTCTCCTCCTCCTTCCTCCCTCCCTCCTCCTCCTCCTCCTCCTCCCTCCTCCTCCTCCTCCTCCTCCTCCTCCTCCTCCTCCTCCTCCTCCTCCTCCTCCTCCCCCCTTCCTCCTTGGTCGTTGTTGTGCGGCGGGTGCCGCAGAGAAATAGCTGTCGAGAGGATCATCCGCTCCCACTGCTGGGGCGAGGAGGGGAGGTTCCCAAGACCCACCTCGGTCCAGTCGTGCGAGTTGGCCCCCAGGCGGGCACCCGCCGAAGGCCAGGCACACCCCGCGCAGCGCACGCTGCGCCCACTTGGCACGCCCAGGGGGCACACACGAGAAGGGGGAAGGAGGGGGGAGGAGGAGGGAGGAGGAGGGGAAGGGGAGGAGGGAGGAGGAGGAGGAGGAGGAAGAGAGGGAGGAGGAGGGAGGAGAGGAGGAGGAGGAGGAGAGGAGGAGGAGGAGGAGGAGGAGGAGGAGGAGGAGGAGGAGGAGGAGGAGGAGGAGGAGAGGAGGAGGAGGAGAGGAGGAGGATGAGGAGGAGGAGGATAGGAGGAGGAGGAGGGAGGGAGGGAGGAGGGAGGGAGGGAGGGAGGGGGAGGGAGGGAGGAGGGAGGGAGGGGGAGGGAGGGAGGGAGGGAGGGAGGGAGGGAGGGAGGGAGGGAGGGAGGGAGGGAGGGAGGGAGGAGGAGGAGGAGGGCGGAGGAGGACGCCCCCCGAGAACCGAGCACACCCACCCGGTGCACCGTGCGCCCGCGAGGCGCGCCCACGGCCTGACACCGGCCGAGGGCTCCGGCACACGCGGCCAGGCATCTCCAGCAGAGCGAGTGCAGGAGCCACCGAGCGCGTTCCGCTGCTCGCGAGGTGCCTACTCGCAAGCGTCCGAAACAAAACAAACGTCTGCCTTGATCTCATTGATCGTAGATCCCCCGCGGCGGATGCAGGCCATTTGCGAGCAGCTACTTTGCGAGGAGTGGAACGCGCTCGTTTCATCTCTAGCAGAACGAGTAGTATAGGGCAGGGGGTGTCTGTGCGGTGGGCTCCCCTGCAGACTTCGGAAAAAGAAAGCGACATGGACACAAACTTTCGGAGCTCCGCGCGAATTTCTTGGATCTGCGATAGGGGCCCCCTTGGTGGCGCCTCCGGCGCCGCCCCTGGCGCGCGGAGCGCGCCAGGGAGGGGGGTCCAGCACAGATCCAAGAAATCCGCGCGGACCGTCAAAAGTTTATGTTTATGACGCTTTTTGTTCCTCTAAGACCGCTCCCTCGGGACAGCGGGGCGCACCTGCACCCATCAGAACTCTTAAGAAAAGGCGTCAGCTTTCGTGGACGTCGCACGTCGCTCGAGAAAGTCGAGAATCTGCACTGGACCCTGGGCGTTCTATTGGAGCCCCTGTTCTGTGTGGAATGTTCGTATCTCTGGACCTGGACCACCGGCTAAGAGAACGCCCGGAGCGAAGTTCATTTTCTTAGCCTCAGATTTTCTTTGCTCCGAGCAGAGGTGTAGCGCAACCACTTCCTTGGGGCACAAGGAGGGCAGGGCGTCTGTGCGGCAGGCCCTCTTGCCAGAACCGCGCCCCCGGGACGGCGGGGCGCACCCGGACGCAGGTCGGGGGCGGGCGCCGTCGAAGTGACGCCGTTCGCTGTTTCAAACGGAATTCGAGGGGCAACGATCGGGGGGGGGAATTCGTTACCAGCCTGGAACATATCCCCATCCCTATGCTGGGCGCCTCCTCATCACGATGCAAATCGTAGGGATTGCCTTGTTTTTGGAGGGCGGATCCCTAAGATTATCATCGCCTTTTGGCGTGTCGATCTTTGGGATAGGGATACGTTCGAGGCTGGTAAATTCGGCCCAGGGGGGATGCAACGACCCCCAATTGACCCACTGATCGCCGACAGGGGCCCAACCTGCCAACGCACGTGCGGATGCACCGTCGGGGGCCCGTCACCGATCTGCTGGCGATGTACACACTGCTCATGTCTAAAGGTTCCAAAGTTCATTGATTTTCTGGGGGGCCAAGATCCTCTCATTTCTAATTGTTCCACCCTGGGCCTCTACCTGGCCACCAGGGGGCCAGGAACAGTTAGAAACGAGCACAATTAGAAATGAGCACGACTAGATAGAATTAACGGCGTGTGCCGCCGATTCCAGGTCGATGTGCCCCCCCCCCCCCCCATGCTCATCCCCTCTATCGTTGTCCCTCACGAATGCATACTGCACGCCGCAGAGCGGTCTGCAATGACTCTCTGCTGGTCGTACGTGGCTTGTTGCGCAGCAGCCAAAGGCAGCGGCGAGCGAGGGGGGCAAGTGAGAAGGGACGGGCCTTTTCAGAAGGCTCCGAAGTCCCTGGGCCTTCTGGCAAGTTTCAGAAACCTTCCCCGAAATCATAGAAAACCTCTCAGAAGGCGCGAGGGCTTCTGAGAAGTCCCGCCGCCTTCAGAAGTCCTTCTCCTTCTCACTTCCCCCCCTCGCTCGCCGCCGAATACTGCACGCCGCAGATTGGTCTTCAATGACTCCCTCCTGCTCGTAGTTTGTCGCGCACGAGCCACAGGGAGATTTTAAGTGCTACGTAAGTGCAATGCATCACCGGCTTCGGCCCGCGCGACAGGCGGGACCGCGTCCGCGAATTGGTTGCGAGGATTGCGGCAATCCGCGTGTGTCGGGGGCGTCCAAGATGGGAGGTGAGGAGTGAGGACTATAAGAGGAAGGCGAGTTGAGACAGCTCTAGTTGCCCTTCGGGGTGGCCCTCGTCGCCACCGCTGGACGCAGCGCAGAAAACTACTGCGTTTGGACCCTGGGAGGGGTCCAGAAACGGATTTTGAGCTGACGTTGTCTCAATGCTCCCTCCGAGACTAGGGGTATGTGAATATCATGGTCAGGGCAGTGAGCCGTCCCCGATTTTATGGCCCTTCTTTCTTCCTTCAATACGGTCCCTGACCCCCCTGGTCCGCGCACATGCCTCGGGCCCATGCTGCGCTGACCCCCTTTTTCCGAGCCCCCCCTTCCTCGGCGCACCCGAGCATGAGCGGCTGAGGTTGTCCAGCGCCGGAACAGTTACTCTCCTTACCCTCGCGTCTGTGCATGTAGCACGCCCAGATTGGTGGTTGCCTGAAGGCCCGCGTCGGAGCGGGCGGTAAACTGAGGAATCACCCGCTGATAACAGACGGCCTCCGACGCCGTCTTTTTTCGTCTACCGCTGCGGCAGACCGGCGGTGAAATCCGAACCCTACCCTCGCCGATCAACGATTCAGGCAACTCGATGGGCGGCGGGGGTAGGGTTCGGAATTCGTCGAACACATGGCCAGATCCGAACCCGCCCCCCGCCCCCCATCGATTCAGGAGAATCGATGGTTGGTGGATGTAGGGTTCGGAGCGGATCGCCACTTCCACCATTTGGGGAACCGACCTTCCAGGAGACAGGGATGCAGTGGATATGGATATGTTCGGGGCCAGGGGGACCAACGGTATCCATCTTCACTGCTCTGGGATTGAACTGCTCCCCAAAGTGGAGGATGTTGATGATTCCCAGCCTCAGAAAAATCGCCGCAGCTCAGTAAGCCGCCTCCGCCCTCGCATCTGTTTCGGCCCTGTT